TCACTGGGCTGGTTCCTGAAGCTGGGTGATGGGCACGTGGGTGTTCAGTGTTTATCAGATCTCCTTTCACGGCTATTTAAGTCTTCTCATTATATAATGTCAACAGAGGGTGGTAACGATAGTCCACTGAAGGAGGAGAGAGTCTGGGATTGGGAAGGATGACGCGGCACCCACCACGGGGTTCGGCCCTCCGGGTGCCTGCGGCTGCAGAGGCCTGGGCAGGGGTCTGCGTATCTGTGCAGTATGGCTCGGTCACCGTGGAAAAGACAGGGAGACGTGTGCTGATAACACCTCAGAGAGGTTTTCATTCATGTGGCTAATTTTTAAAAAACTGAATCAGGCCCTTAGGGAGTTAAGCCGTGCTCACTGGGAATTTGTGATCTGCTGGGAAAGCAAGGCATTGCGACAGGCACAGATTTGGCCCTGACGTAGGGGCCCAACTGCCTAACGGGTGTTCGTCCCTTGTTAGACGTGGGCTTTAACAAGGGACACGGGCCCTGCCGTTGGCCTGCATCCCTCCCTGCCGGTCCTGGGGAGGACACCGTACTGGAACCCCACACATTTGAGATGAGGGTGGTGCAAAACCAATGGGACAGGCATAACCGGGCTTTGCCCACTTGCCCTGCTCACTAAGACACCATCTCCTCTCTGACTTTCCTGCTGAGAGCAGGAAGCCCCCCGCCCAAAGGTGATACCCTGCCAGAAACTGGGCCCCGGGAGACCAGAAGCTGCAAATGGCCCCTCCCAGCGAGTCTTTGTCTGGAGGCCCCTCTCTGGTGCACGTGTACCTGTGGGAGTTGGGTGGCATGTCGTGGGGAGCCAGACGCCCCGCAACGTTTTGTCCTGTTGCTAAGAGCAGGCAAGGCCAAGGGGTTCCCAGGACTGGGGCCGCCTGGCAGCTTCTAGGAACCAAGTCAGAGCCGGGAGTCTGGAGGGTGCCCCTTGCGTGAGTGAGGCTCAGCTGTTCCCGTCTCGCTGCCCATCTGTGGGAGCCGGCACCACGGCCGAATTCCCCAGCAGCACCACCTGCCACCCCAGCCACCTGCTCCTCTGCTGACGCTGTCCTCTCTCTGCAGGCCCTGTCCGTGGGCATCTTCCCGTATGTGCTCAAGCTGCTGCAGAGCTCGGCCCGGGAGCTGCGGCCCCTGCTTGTCTTCATCTGGGCCAAGATTCTTGCTGTGGACAGTGTGAGTAGTCCCTGTCCTCCCTGTGGGCATGAGGCCATCTCTGAGTGTCTCCATGGTGCCCGGCCCCGAGGGCATGGCTGCTGTGGGTGGGCAGGGCCTCCAATGTGTGAGGGGTGCTGAGTGTAGATGGCAGGTGGGGGCATGGACACAGCCGAGTGAGGGATGGGGGCAAGCACAGAGGACACTCAGGCTGTCGAAGGAGGGGCGGCTCGTTCAGATTAGCAACAGAACAGTGGGAGCCAAGCGGTGGTTTATGAGACGTCCAGCCTCGGAGTACAGAGGTTATGTGGAGGGAGGTCCCCCAGGGGCTGAGGGTGGCCAGGGAAGTGCGGCCGATGGACAGGGAGGGCTGGTGGATGTGGAGGAGACTCTCTCGGGCTTGATAGTCAGAGGGGCGGCTGTGCTGGTGATGGGGTGGCCGGGCGCTTGTGGTGAGGGAACGTTCGGGAGGCCACGGTGATGAGGCCCCGTGGCCTGAGAGAGGAGTCTGGGGTCTTGTCCAGCCAGGTGTGAAACAAAGGCTTCAGGGCTGAGTGGTGAGCGGCCACTCTTGCGGAGCCGAGGAGGAGGTCTGGGAGGGAGTGTCCTCCAGGGGCCTTGAGTCCCAGACACACAGCTGCGAGCAGCAGCCCGGCCGGCCTGATGTCAGGTACCACCTGGCCTGGCTGTCACGGGCCCTTAACAGATGTCACTTGTACCTCCCACTCTCATTTAACAGAATTCACTTAATTGCATTGATAATCCGTTTACTTTCTAAACTGTACATCATAAGACGCAGAACAAAGCTGTAGCATTAGGGAACAGGTTTGCGGAGACCCATGCCTTCCCCACGAGCTGTCAGCCGGGCGAGCTGAGTAAGTGGCTCATGGGGTTGGGGCTCTCGTTTGGTGAGATGCTGTTGTGCACATGCCTTCCTAGCTGTCATCAGGGCTGTGTGAGCTGCTGCTCTCCCGGAGCCCTCGGAGTGGGTTCTGCTCTTGGTTCCTGAGGACCTGGGGACCAGGAGAGCAGAGCCCAAGCTCCGCCGGGTCCCAGGAGCTGCTGCCCGGTTCCTGCCTCAGAAGCCCCCCTGCCTGGGAGGGGGCCAGGTTGCAGCTGGTGTGTCTGTCTGGCAGGAGGGAGGCAGTTGTTTGAAATCCTCTAAGTGGCCAAGAGTGACATGACCAGCTGAAGGAGAAGTGGGGCACAGGCCACTGGGCCCCCCAGTCGGTGCTGGTGGGGAGGTCTCGGATCACCCTTCTGCGGGTGGAGCATCTGCCGGGGCCAAAGGCAGGGCAGCAAGGCCACCGGCTGCGATGACTGGAGGACTGTGCTGAATGAGCAGATATGCAGGGCCGGGCGGGGACAGGGACGGGTTGTCAGCCAGGAGATCGGCCGCACGACTGGACTCCAGCAGCTGTGGTGGCTCTGTGAGCTCCATGGAAGGTGCCACCACAGTGTCAATGTGAGAACCTGGAGTCAAGGCAGGTTCACCACGTGTTCCCTAAAGCGCCAGGTCAGACCCCTGTCGCTCCCAGGACTCGGGGTGTCTTCCAGGGACATGAGGCTGGCTCAGTACTAGGAAAGATATTAAGACACTAAATTAGTAAGTCAGAGACGGCTGACATGGATTGATAAACAAGCGTCAGGGAGCCCACCCAGGCAGCCACACTCACCGCCTCTCGTGTCTTCTCTCCCCAGTCCTGCCAAGCTGACCTGGTGAAGGACAGCGGCCACAAGTACTTCCTCTCCGTCCTGGCTGACCCCTACATGCCAGTAAGGACCAAGCTCCATTCTGTTTCCGATGGCTCGAGATCTGTGTCGCTTGTCGCTGCTTACCTGTTGCGCAGTAAGGGCACCTCTTAGGAGGCTCTGGAGAGGTGCTCCTCACCACGCGCCACCAGGCAGAGGCCACGACGGGCCATGCTTTGGGAGCCACATTTATACTCCGCTACTGCTTTACTCACACGGTGCTCGTTACATACAGTGTGTTAATTCAGTAGCTGCCTCGTTTCTGTCTCTAAGTGAGGATCTGGTTAACCTTGATGTGCAGGTTGGCATGGTCTTCGTTAGTCTGTTTCCCCTGGCACCTCTGCCATGTAGTGGGATCCACTCTCCCTCACCCCCTAGGAACTGAGTTGGCTCAGCGACAGCTCGTGGGCCCTGCTGTGACAGTTCACATGCCCAGGGTGGGGCAGGGACACGACAGGCCCTGACCTGCCTTAGGGATCAGGGTGGGATGGAGGGAGGTTCAAACTTTAAATCTATAGGGTGCCCAAGAAAAATGTATACTCACTTTAACAGCCGATTCTATTATATTTTGAAAATGAAATGTATTTTAATAAACACTGCCTTTATAATTATTCAAAGTGCGTGTACATTTTTGGGGAACACCCTGTATTTTATTATATTAAAGTGTTAAAGCTTAGTGGTCTGTGAGTGGCATATATAGTAACTCCTATAAACGTGATGGGTTTTTATGCTCCTACTCCAGCTGCTGGCATGGTGAAGGGCAGAGTGGGCGTCCTGGTTTAATTGTGTGGCTCGTCCACACAGTCCCAGGTGGCTTTAGTTATAGGAGGGGATTTTTGTACATAATTTAACCCTCTCATTGGTTTTCCAAACTAAATGATTTAAAAAACAGAGAGGGTTAAAAATGAGATTGTATGTAGAAGGGAGAGAGTGCGCGTGTGTTTTGAGTGTGGCGTTTAGACGTCATCTTGGGCAGTTACAGTCTGTAGTCTCTGTGAGTTTTGGGAATAACTCCTTGCTCCTCAGGGTCAGTAAGAAAACCAATGAAATGGATGAAAAAAGTTAAACTGGTGAAATTCAGTAAAACGTGCACTGAGCCAGCACGAGTGGGCCCCACCTCAGCTATAGGCACACTCAGGTTTCAAGGACGTAGTCAGATCTGAAAGGAGAGGAAATTCCCAAAAGCCAGAAACTAAGGAGTCAGAGGGGGCCGTGGTGGGAAGTGAGCAGGGACATCGCGTGACCCTGGCGTCCCCGCAGCCTGTGGACCCAAGACTGCACAGGAGATGCGGGGCCTGAGCTGGCGACGTCTCAGAGACTGACTCCCCTGCTTAGAGTCAGGAGCCCGCAGGGTGCCCCTGCCCTGCCCTGCTCTGCTCGTCACGAAGGACCAGGAAAGCTGCTCTCTGGCCGGCCGTGTTGGTCAGAGAGTTAAAGAGAAGCCTCTGAGAGACTGAGACCTCAGGCCTGTGCACACAGGTGGGTGAGAGCCACCTGCCGAGACATGAATGTAAGACCCGTTCAGGGTCATTGACCTCTCCAGGGACCTGGGAGAAGCAAAGGCAGAACAATTCCTCAGGGACACTCCACGCTGGGCAGGGGAGACTCTGCCAGGGACACAGCCAGGAAAGCGCGGGGCGCTAGCGAGAACCTGGGGGCCAGGGGAGGAGTGTGAACTGGGGCTGAGGTGTTTCTACCCTCGAAGAGGTGAGTCTTCAGACTTAAAAAGCACAGTGACGCCGGAGAAGGCTGAATACAGACAGGTCCACACAGAGCCATCATAGTGAAAGTGGAGACCGTCGGAGGCAGAAGTGATCAGAACCAGGAGAGAGAGGCGTGAGCGCGAGTCCACAGCAGCCCACTTTCCATCAGCGTGGATGACCAGGGGAGATGGGGAGGCCTGCACACGTCACCGCGGATTCTCTGTCCGGCTGACGCGTCACCAGGATGAGGGCAGAGCCAGCGCGTCTTCAAAGACTGGGGTTCTGTGCGCGACCCCCACCGAAGGTCGTTCCAAAGCCCAAGGCTCAGGAGGAAGTCGAGCCCAGAGGGAAGTCGGACAGGAAGCGGCAGAAGGCAAAGTCGTTGGTCTTGAAAATAACGGATCATCACCCACTTGAGGGGCCAGGACGGGAGGTGCATTGGAATAAGGGGCTCGCCTTCATCCCAGGGAGACAGACAGTGCTCAGAATGGACTGTTCAGTGCCTCTGACAACCGCTGAGCAGTTAAAGTGCACAGACCGACTCCTGAGTCAGCGGAGGAGGGAGGGAGGGAGGGAAAGTTGATCCATCCAGCAAAAGCCCAGGAAGGAGGCAGAGGCAAGGTCGGGACTCACTTTACTTCCTGTGCTTGACCGGGGCGACCGGGGCCTTGGTAGAACAGGACAGCCTGGGAAGGGAAGCGCACCGGCTGTGCCGTCCTGCAGCCTCCACACCCGAAGGCCGGCCCTCGGCGTCAGACCCTCTTACAGGGGCTGCTCTTTCCTGCAAACTCAGGGGCAGGAAAGCTGGCTCCTGCGACTGTGTCATCAGGCTCCTCACAGGTCTGAGAGGCAGCTCTGCTGTGCGTGGGGACTGTGAGTTTCCACGGAAAAGTGCAAGACTAGGGTGGCCTCTGTTTTCCAGGCTGAACACAGGACCATGACGGCCTTCATCCTTGCCGTGATCGTCAACAACTACAACACGGGGCAGGTGAGCGCCTTGCTCAGCCCTGCTCCCCAGCCCCCAGCCCCCCGCTGCCACACTCGGGGGTCGGAGGGGCTGTTGTCCCAAGTGTCTAATGGGACAGTCACCCTTAGAGGGGGTGACCAGAGCACACAGCACAGGGTTCAGCCAGGGGCCTCAGGATGGATTGAAATTGGTGGGATTTAGAATGCGGGACAGACCAAGATTTCCTTGAGAAGGGTGAGGGTCATGACCCCAGCTGCACCCCTCCCCGGGCGCCCTGGTCAGCGGGGGGCCCACGGTGTCCTCTGCCTTCCCTCAGGAAGCCTGCCTGCAGGGGAACTTGATCGCCATCTGCCTGGAGCAGCTCAACGACCCCCACCCACTGCTGCGCCAGTGGGTGGCCATCTGCCTGGGGCGGATCTGGCAGAACTTCGACTCCGCCCGGTGGTGTGGGGTGCGGGACAGTGCCCACGAGAAGCTCTGCAGCCTACTGTCCGACCCCATTCCTGAGGTGTGTGCCGCCCAGGGCCGAGGCTAAGGTCGCAGGGCCCACACATGCTGGTGGTCCTGTGGGACGAAAGTGTGGAGGGGCCGCTGGGGTGCTGCCTGCCTCCAGAAACTGTCCCCCCCACAGCCCGTCCCCAAACCCCTGTCTCTCTCACTGTCACCAGCCCCTCAGCTGGGCGACAGGGACCCTTTCGTGTCCCCACGCACACGGCAGGACGGGGCTGTGACCTGTGCCCTCCCGCAGGTGCGCTGTGCAGCCGTCTTCGCCCTCGGCACGTTTGTGGGCAACTCTGCGGAGAGGACCGACCACTCCACCACCATCGACCACAACGTGGCCATGATGCTGGCCCAGCTGATCAGTGACGGGAGCCCCGTGGTCCGGAAGGTACATGGCCCCCGTCTGTGCCGTGACCCTGACCACAGCCGTGAGCGCTTGGTTCCCGTGACCCCAGCATCCAGCGCAAACTCTCAGGGGCCACTGCTTTTCCGCCAGGCGCTGACTGTCCTTCCTTCTCGGCAGGAGCTGGTGGTGGCGCTGACGCACCTGGTGGTTCAGTACGAGAGCAACTTCTGTTCCGTGGCCTTGCAGTTCATGGAGGAGGAAAAGAGCTACCCCTTGCCTTCTCCAGCGGCCGCAGGTGAGGCCCTCGCCCACCACGCCACCACCGTCCACCTGCCATCCGCCAGACAGGACCCTTGGTCACAGCCGTCGGTGGCCCCTCAGTGCTGCCAGATGTGGGGCTCAAGTGTCCAGTCCCTGCCATGCGGGTACCAGCTCTGAGTGGCTCTGATTCCCACCTTCACAGCCTTTGAGCAGAACAGAAGGGCAGGGAGGAGGCGGCTCTGACTCTCTGATTCTTTCCTTTTACCCTTTTTGGAAACGAGATTCATGGAAATGTTGGACGCCACAGAGGGCTTAGAGAGCAGCACGGGGCCCCTCCCGTGGTGACTGATGTTACCACGTTGTTGGTCCCCGGCTCACCGAGTCACACTGGGCAGCCCCTCCGCTCACGTCTGCCTTTCATCGGGTTTCTCTCATCCTCCCGGGGCCACCTCCTCCCCTGGACACAGCCGTCCTTGCCAGAAAGGGGGCTCGTGATCAGTAGTGGAGGCCTTGCTGCTGTTAGCACGGCAGGGAGGGGACCCAGGGGCGGACACAGAGCACCTGGTGGCGCCACAGGGCCAGCCCTGCCCTGTGGAGTCTCCCGGAACCGCCCGCTCGCAAATCGAGGAACTTGGGTCACCTGCTCCTACCCCGCCCTTTGCTGGGCGCAGCTCGCCCGGCTGGCACGTGTCAGGTCCTCCCTGCCTCGGCAGGCCCTGCTGGTGGCAGCTGCGCTCCTCCAGGCAGGGGCGACTGCCCCCTGCCATCGCCACCTGCTGCGAGGAAAGGCGCCGGGCTCTCCTGAAGCCCACTGCGAGCAACTCCTCTCTCCCCTCCCCCCAGAGGGCGGGAGCCTGACCCCCGTGCGCGACAGCCCCTGCACCCCCAGGCTGCGCTCCGTGAGCTCCTACGGGAACATCCGCGCCGTCACCACCGCCCGGAGCTTGAACAAGTCGCTGCAGAACCTGAGCCTGACAGAGGAGTGTGAGACGCTGGGACCGGGTGCTGGGGGGACGCTGTGTGATCAGGTGCCGCCCCCTCTCTGCCGTGAATGTGTCCCGCGGGGCAGGTCGGCGCCCGAGCCCGTGGCCCGGCACAGACACAGCGGGCATGTGGGCCCCTGAGGCCCCACCTCCCTACCTGGGGTCCCCTGCCGTCCGGGGGAGGGTGGCTCAGCCCGGAAATCAGTGGGTGCGTAGGGGGTGAAATGCACATTTCAGTCACCTGCCGCTCAGGGCGGGGCCAAGCCGGCTCTGGGCGCCCGGCCTGACATGCTCCCTGTGTTGGCAGCGGGCGGCGCGGTCGCCTTCTCGCCCGGGAACCTGAGCACCAGCAGCAGCGCCAGCAGCACGCTGGGCAGCCCCGAGAACGAGGAGTACATCCTGTCCTTCGAGACCATCGACAAGATGCGCAGGGTCAGCTCCTACTCCGCCCTCAATTCCCTCATAGGTGAGTCCCCCAGCACCCCTCGGCGCCCACACAGCCCCCCACAGCCCACACAGAACCCACGCAGCACCACGCAGCGTCCCCCCAGCAGGTGCCAGACCTGGGCCACGAGGAGGTGAGAGACGCTCCCATCACCTCAGCTCTGAGGGGAGGGGGTCGGAGGCTCGTTTTGTGGGGCAGCACCTCCCTCCTCACAGCCAGGACAGGGTGTCCCGGGGGCCCTGTGCCAGGAGACGCGTGGCGGGCGGAGCGTCTCCCCACGGCACAGGCCCCACCTGAGATGGGACCCTTTGTGTAAAGCACGGGCTCCGTGTTACCCGGTGTCTGGGTGGAACTGGCTTCCAGGTGCTGGGCCTCGGGTCTGTGGGTTTCATTCCGATTCCGCTTCTTCAGCACTGGCAGGGCCATCCGCTTGTCTGTTGCTGTCATTCCGGTTGCTGTTCCGTTTTCCTAGGACGTCCGTTTCACCCACAATATTCTCTTGACTTTTTAATCCCTGCTCTCTGCTCACGTGCAGAAACAAGCCGGCCGGCTTTGGGGAGGCCATAGCTCGCCCTCGGGCTTGGGGCTTGGGTGCCGCACACCTCCGCCCCCCCCGCCTTGGGAGCGGGGAGAGCCCTGAGCCTGTCTCCACAGAGTGCTGGGCACCTCACCTCCACCTTTCACACAAAACCCGACTCCTGGGCGTTTCTCTGCTGCAGAAAACTGAGGTTTTTTTCTTCTTATCATTCAAATCTTTGAAAACTTGAGTGGAAAAGCTGCTAACTGAGCTGGAGTTCGGAGCATTCAGAAGACAGCATCCGAGCCCCCGGGTCTGTTCCACACACGCGGGAGACTGTGCTCACGTCCACCTGGAGCCACAGGGCGCACACATGTGTCCCACCCCAGCCCCAGTCGGAGGGGCGGTGCCGGCTCCTTCGGAGGCCCTGGAGGAAAGCACAGCTCGTCCCACAAGAAGGAAGGTGCCGGGACCTCGCACCTCCTGAGGGCAGGGGCGGCCCAGGCACCGCTTCGGTCTCTTGTCAGGAAAGGGTGACAGGGAAGTGATCAGTTAGGCACAAGATCAATTATGTTTTTACAGCCAGAGCCCTGAGCGAAGGCTGTCTCTAGTGTGACTCACAGGGATACAGGCACGTCACAGGGTTGTGCACACACGCCAGCCACCCCATCCTGACAGCCCCGTCCTGGTGGCCCCAGGCCCTTGGTCCTGTCAGCAGTGGGATGGGCCCCCACCTCCAGCAGGCAGAGGGTTTGTGAGGGGATCCTCCTACAGGAGCCCAGGGTCGCAGGCGCTTTGGGCCCCAGCTGTGGGTAGGGGGGAGCCCTGGGGACTAGTTCCTGGAGGAGGCAGAGGCCCTAGGACCCGCATAACCAACAGCATCAGAGCAGGAGACCCCTGAGGCCCAGGCAGTAGTCTCAGCTCCTGCCTCCCGAGGGACTTCAGATACCCAGAGTTGCCACAAAGCTCTGAGCCAGTTTCCCTCCACCACCTGCTATTTGGAAAGCTGTAGCCGTTGCTCCGGAAAATAAGTCCTAAGACCATTAGTTATGATTCTATAATACTTCAGTCTAGACATGAGATTCAGTTCTCAGGCTCGTGGGCAGTCTGGTGAGGGCCAGGCAGGCCCCCTTTCTGAGTGTTTAACAGCAGAAGCCTCCCAGCTCCCTGTCCCCCAGGGGTCACCCCCCAGGCCCGGCTCCGGGCGCAGGTCGTCCATGTGGGAGGCAGCAGATGTGCGGGCGGGTCAGTCCTGGAGCAGAGGCTGAGCAACTGGCCGGACGGCGGAGGACACCACCACACCCCAGTGCTGCTTCCTGGTCCATGGTCACACCACCGTTCCCGTGGTCAGGGACCCGGGCAAAGTGAGATGTTTTTATTCCCTGTTGAATCACAAACTTAGAGCAAAGCCGAAGTCATCTGCGAGAAAGTCAGCGACAGCAGTGCAAGTAACTCCCTGGAAGTAAACAACAGCAACAGTGACGTGTCCGCCTTCCTCGGCGCGCAGCATGGCCTCCGCCTCCGCCGGGGTGGCTTTAGCGCCGTGACCTGTGTACTGAGGCCACCGCATCAGCATCTGCCGCCCACTTCACGGCCTGAGGTCACACAGCTGGGGAGGGACGGAACTGGCCCCCCACACGCTGCCCTGCGCCCACCTTCACTTCTGTGCCAAGGGCCCCACTGCTGAGGGTCTGTCGTCGTCACGGTGCATCACTGTCCTGTCATGGCATCCTGTCGCACGGCCACGCTCAGGAAGCTGCTGCCACGGGTCGCTCTGCGCCCAAAAACGCCAGAGGAAAAGCAGCGGCATGGAGACTGTGAGAGCCCGTGGGGCCTGAGGCCGGTGGCATCCCTCCCGCGGGGGCTTCTTTCCTGAGAGCTGCTCCCTCGTGGACGCATCACCCGCCTCCTCCACAGCCGCCCTGCGGCAGACCCGGTGCCATCCTCCTGCCCACCTCCCTCCTCTGAAAGAAGTGATGCCTGCGGTCACCTGGTGGCCCCCACCTGACAAGCCCGGGTCCTGCCTCTGTGGGAGGCCGGAAAAGTAGATCGCAGGAAATATTCCCGATTCCAGGCTGATTTCGCCCATTTCCTTAGACGTGGGTGGTGAATCTGTACAGTGTCAGAGACGTGGCATTTGAGTTGGAAGGTTCTGTTCTGTGTCTGTCTGAAGGTGCAGGAGAGCAGAGGGAGGGGACAGCGTGTGGTTTCGGCAAACACCCCTTCCCTGCACGTCCACACTGTGTGCGCGTGTGTGTGTGCGTGTGTGTGTGTGTGCACACGTGACCCGTGCCGTCTGCCTGTGACTCCCTGTGCAGCACGGGCTGTGTGAGCGAGTCCGGAGCCCAGAGCTCGCCCGAGTAGAGAGGCGTGGATGCCTCCAGCGCGTTCCCCCACACAGGTCACAGCCCCCAATGCTTCCAGGCAGCTTGGTGTCCAGATGGGAGTCCTGCCCTTTCCTGACTTGCTTTTCCTTCTGGAAAGATCCAGGCTCAGGAGTTGGAATTGTGTCACCAAGCCTGCGTGCCGACGGGACTCCTGAGTGTCTGGCCTGTCCCCAGAAGCAGGGACGGGGCTCCCCCAGGGCCACCTGCTCCTGAACTGTCTCCCCCTCTCTCCCCAGGCGTCTCCTTCAACAGCGTCTACACCCAGATGTGGAGGGTCCTGCTGCACCTGGCCGCGGACCCCTACCCAGACGTGTCCGACCTGGCCATGAAGGTGCTCAACAGCATCGCCTATAAGGTGTGTGTGCCACTCCTCGGGGCTCCCCGTTCTCAGGGGCGCGGGTTCCGGCAGGGCCTCCGGGTGTGGCCAGGTCTGCCCTTGGTTTCATGCTCACCACACCCCGGGTGTGTCCACAGGGAGCTTCTGTTGGGGTGTGTTGCTGTGACTGCTTACGTGTCAGGGCACCGGGTGAGGATCACCACCGTCCCCATTACCGCTCAGTCCCTGGGACCTGTGGTGGTCGTCCTAGCCCCGACTTCGCTTACACATGACCGTCCGGCCAAAGGAACTTTAAAGAGCCACCTTTTAGCTTCACCCTGTTTCCTGTTGTTCCTCATTTCCCAGGGCGCTGACACCCGCCTCTCTCCTTGTTTTTCCTGCTCACTTTGGGGACTCTTCTCTGGGGACTGAGAGCCCTGCCCGATCCTCCTTGTGAGCTCCGGGCATCGTGGGCCTTCCCTCCCGGGGTTCTTCCAGGCCCTGAGTGTTCAGCCTGCCCAGCAGCACTAAGTACTGGGCCAGGCTCCCAGTGCCTCCTCTGTGGGCCACTCTCCCTGAGACCGCGTGACCGCGACACACAGCCTGTGCGTGTCTTTGTGTGTGGGTGTCTGCGAGTGTGCATGCATGTGTCTGTGTGCATGTGTGTAGGGCTGGCCAAATAATTGAAATACCACAGCAAAAGCAAGTCCACAAACAACGTAACTTGTATAATTCGGACACAAAAGCATTTCTGAAAGGCTGGCTGTGGTTCAGTTTCCTGCTGTTCTTACTTCGCAGTGAGCGGCTGCCTGGGAAACGCCGGTAGGATGCAGAGAGCTGTGTCTGCGGGTTTTCTGTGATTCTCTGTCTGTCGGCTGAGACACCAATCCCAAGTGTGTGGGTCCCTGTCAGTGCCAGACCAGGGTCCCACTAGCCATGTCCCGAGCCAGCAGGGCCATCCGCTGCCCGGTGTCCTCTGAGCAGGGCCTCGAGAGACCTGGGCAGGTGGCGGTCCCAGCAGGAGCAGAGGCCCTTGCTTGCTGAATGCGCCTCGTACTTGTCACCCCAGCAGAGAGTGGTTTCCAGCATCCCTCAGACCCTCCCAAGAAATAAAAACAAACTAAACCCCC